GTTGGGACATGTCCCAACGAGATGATCCTAAAGGTTTGATTCATTTTTCCGTCTAGCATTGATATGTGGTCGTGATCTAGTAGCGCTTCCAGGATATTGAGCTGACAAGGTTGACCGGTGCGACTTGTTTGCAGACGGCGCCGCCGGCGAACAGACAGTCAGCATCGAGCTGGACGGGGAGGAGTCCGAGCTGAGGTTCATCAGCATCACCAACCCCAAGGTACGAATGCCCGGCACGCCGGCGGCGTCGGCGGAGGGCGTCCGCTGCTGAAGGCGAGCCACTGAACAGTGGTATGGTTTTACGGAAACGATGAGATCAGGTTTTGTTATCACGGATGGGCTATCTGTTCGGGGTATCTGTCTCATTTGGTGTGTATGTACACAGGGCCTTAGCCAACTGCCTTCCCGGCCGGCGTCATGTTGCATGGAGTCCTGAGAGGGACTAGATGTTTTTTTTGTTTTTGTTTTTTTGGCTTTCAGCCACGGACGCATCACAGCCTGAAGTCTCTTCTTGACATTACTGTGGTTCAAACTGGGGTCTTTGATTGTATGTTCAGTACTTTACCAACTGATCCACCTGGGAGGGAAGTCCTTCCCGGTTTGCTCATTTATTACACTCTTTTACTCTCCTTACGCTTTGTTTTGGCGGATGAAGTCCTTCCCGACTAGTTCAGCCGGAAGGCACGGAACTCGCAGTCACAAGACCCTTGTTCAAACTCCAATAACTCCAAGCAGCGAACTTGGGCTGTGTCGCGGACAAGTCTAAAGGCCGGACATCGTCCAGAGTTTCCCGGGACTCCATAACACCTAACGACAGCAGGAGAGTTAATTACCCGAAAAAGTTGTGTACATCCTAACTCATGAGACATGTAACCAGAAACACGCATCCCATTCGTGAACAGTGGTACCGAGCGTTTCGAACGGCAGCTATTAATTGGTTCCCTTCTGCACCTGTAGTGTTCGGCAAATGTCAGCGGTTTAGTTTTGATTACGTGTAGTCGTTACGTGCAGTCAACCCGACCTTGCTTCGTAAATGCCGATCCAAGCTGACGAGATTTTGTTCGAGGGGCGTGGCCAGGGTTTTGCCCAGCAGGGGTGCAAAATCGGATCATGGCGAACGCTTTCAGCCAATGTGCTCCCTAAGTCACTTCGGGGCGACTATTTTTTACTATTTTTTATTCACTATTCTTTATTCACTATGTTCGCTATTTTTTAACACTACTTCGCTATTTTATACACTATTTTTTATTCCGGGAATCTTTTTGGCTCGGGGTCCTGTTTGGAGGGCTTGCGATGCCATCTGGAAGCATCGGGAGTGCGTTTTGGATGCTTTAGTTGCCTTACATGCGCCTTAAATGGCTAGAACGTACTAAGGCACAGGGCTCCGTCACCTACCGGGTGGGGGGTGGGGGGCGGGGGCGAGTGGGCGGAATACATGGTCCCAATATGGTCAATAGTCCAGGTCAGGGTCTCAGGACATAGTCCCTCCTTGGCTAGGCCACTGGGTCTGCCTTCGATCTTGCGCAATTCGTGGCCATTTGTGGACCGTGAAATTTCATGAGCGGCGACCCAATCTCTCGTAACCTGTGACCTGATGTTGTGTGAGCGTGGCTTGACCTTCCGCTGGCCGTGACTTGACCTTCCTGAAGCTGTGAATTGACCTTTCGTGAGCCTTGATTGGGCCTCCTATGGTCCGTGAACCGTGACTACGAAGCACAGGTCATGGTCATGACCTGATGGTGTGTGATGCCTTGGTGGACAGTGTATGATTTCCTGTGACCGGACGCCGCTCCGCAGACGGAGGTCACCACTACCCACCCGCCGGACGCGCTGATCCTCATGTACTCGGTGATCGACAAGGCGAGCTTTGAGCGGGCCGAGGACGAGCTGTCGCGGCTGCAGGCGCTCGACCTGCTGCGCAATCGCTGCCTTGTGCTCGTCGGAAACAAGATCGACGTCGTCCGCAGCCGGGCCGTCGACGAGTCAGGTCAGCTGGGGTCACAAGGTCAGGTCACTTGAGGTTGTAGGGTGAGGTCAGCTGGGATCGTGGGGTCAGATGGGGTGGTTTATGAGTTCAGGTCAGCTGGGGTCACGGTCAGGTCAGTTGAAGTTACCTGAGCAGGCCATCCGAGGCCATGGGGTCAGGTCAGCTGAGGTCTGAGGTCAGATTGGCTGAGTTGTCAATATGGGGGAGCAGGAGTTAAATAAAAGGCAGGATTAGTCGGGTTCACAGGGGGCTGGTGCCGCGGGACAAGGTTAGGTAGGCTCACAGGATGAGATCGGCCTAGGTCATAAGGTGGCGTTACCTTGGGTCATAGGGTACTTAGCTGGTATCATACGGATAAGTTAGCTGGAGTCATCAGGTGAGGTCGGCTGGGGTTCACAAGGTCGGGTCTGCTGAGGTCAACGGACCGGGTCCGCTCAGGTTGTCATGCTACGTTAGCCAGGGTCGTAGGACCAGGTCAGCTCACGCTATCATGCCACGTTAAACGAGGTTGTAAGACCAGGTCAGCTCAGGTTATCATGCTGCGGTAGCCGGGGTCGTAGGACCAGCTCAGCTCAGGCTATCATGCCACGTTAGACAAGGTCGTAGGCCCAGGCCAGCTCAGGCTACCATTCTACGTTAGACGAGGTCGTGGGACCAGGTCAGCGGAGTCCTGGAGTTTGGTCAGCTTGGATCGGAGGAGCGAGGCAGTTGGACTCATGGAATCGTTTCACCAGTGGTCATGTCCCGTGGTGCAGATAGGCTAGCCATGAATTGAAGGTAAGTATGAAAGCAGTTCAGTTGAGGGCTATGTGGTGTCAGTCAATTGCGGTTTTATGTTATGTTTTTGCATGAGTCCTAAACGAAGCCTTCTGGTTTCAGAACTTAAGCATCTGGCCACGGGTTTTGTATGTCGGGTTGGCGGGATCCACGACATATGCGACATGATCGGAATGTAAAGAATACACTTCAACTAACCAATGGTCGTAGTTTTAACGCTAAAAGAAATATGCTCACAAGAAGCCATCCGTTTTTGGCTCGTACATTTCTTTGGCACCGAAAAATCACTGGCATGTCCAGCATTTCTTTTGTCTTTACAATCGTTGGATTGCCAATCGTAGGCGAACAATGCTCCGATCAGCCAGCGGTCAGCGGTTGGGGTGGCCTGGGCCGGTGAGAGTTGGGAGCCCAACTCTAACCGGCTCGCGTGCCACCCGGGGCCTGTCAGCCTCGACGCAACGGTGGCCTAAGCAAGTTTACTACAGCGCACTGGCGATGTGTGGAGGGCGGTAGTCCCGTTGGGAAACAGGCGCCATTTGCCAGTCTGCTCTGCCAGTGTCTTTTCAGCGGAACAGCACGACTCCTGTATATACAATGCCCCGCACGCAAAGTTAGGAGCCCAGCCTTCCAGCGTGAGGCAAACCGGGACAGATTGTTGTGAACTTCTGAGCTCAGACCAAGTTGAAGGACGCCGCAAAGTTTTGCGGCTGTTCGGACCACTGAGGTGGCAGGAAAGCAGGATGTCATTGATGCTACTTATAGCGTAGCAGACTGGATGACTGAATCCCGGTACGCCAACTTCTGGCCAAACTCATGCAAATACGAGTGATGACGAAGAAAGAGATCATCTAGAGCCGCGCAGACAAACACCACGCCTTCTTGACGAGCCAGCATGCCGCCGTTTGTTCCGTCATCGCCTCCCGCGCTTTAAACTGGAACGAGTTTGCATTGGCGACGTTTCTAAGGACCCCTGTTACGTCACTGGAGCCGCGCGCCGGGCCGTGCGCTTTCATCCCGTAGCCATGTGGCGCTCCAGGGGCGCGGCCACTGCTGCCGTCCCGTCCGACGCCGTGCGGTGTCGTCGGCGCGCATGCCCGCTGGGCAGTTGGCACGGCCGGCGGGGCGGGAGGCGACGCCGGGCAGGGGTCGACGCGAGGCGCCGCCGGCCGAAAATGCGCCGTGACCCGGCTTCAAAGCGCCGGCGGCGGGGCGCTCGCGCCGTGGCCTCGCCCCCCGCGGGCGGCCCGGTAAACACTTGACGGATTTAGCCGGTGCGGCGACAGGCGCCGCCGGGGCCGGCGCGTTCGCCGCTGAGGTCATCGGCCAGGGGCCGGGGTCAGCGCCGGGTCGGCGGGCCGCCAGGGCCTGTGGCGCGGCCCGTGAGATATGACCCGGGCGGCCGCCCCTCCCACCTGCCGGCAGGGCCGCCAGGGGTTTATGACTCGCTGGGGAGGGGGGAGGGGGAGGGGGCGTCACGCTGGCGGCGGCGGGTGCCACACCATGGGGTCGAGTGCCCACTAATGGTGGGTGGTAAAGTCGGCCCCGGTAATGACTTTATTGTGCCTACCCGCCAGCCTAGCCATCGGCGTTCATTGCCACCGCGTTGGTGACGAAACCTAGCGCGAAGTCGACTACTGCTGGACGGGCGGTCGCTAAAGCAAGGGGTATCCGACCGCCTCCTGCAGAAATGGAATCGTTTACGGTGCCCCACAGTATATGTACTGCTGTGCTGGTCGCTTTCGTGACCCGTCATTACTTTGACAAGCAACTGGCTCGTATGTCGACCAGAAGCGCGTCGCGTGCCTCCATCCACTCGGTGGGAAATTCGATCGAACGTGGCCCAAAACGGCCGCCTATCCGAGGCACCATTAAGCAGAGCATGTTGCATGGGGCACGACCTCGCGCTGATCTTCAATAATAGCACGCATGGCGCCCTATCATGTCATCCATCATGCGACCCAGGCGGGGTCGTCTCCCGACAAACAAGCCGCACGAAGAGCGTGCGCTTCGCGAGCGGTCACGTGATTCACGCCGGGGGCTGTTTTGCTGACGGTCCCGCATCAACTGATGGCATCGCGGACGACACGTCTTATTGATGAGCTACGCTCCAGGGATGCATTTCGATATCATATTTGAACGTTCTCGGTACTGGCTTAATAGAAGGCATGGGTTCATGCAGGAGCGCAGCCAGGAAGGAGGAGGGGGGGGGGGGGGGGGGGTCCGGAGTTCAGTGAGAGCTCATCACGCCGATTTTTACTTGCGGAAGTCCGTTATGATGAAAATTAAAAATTCGGGTCTGAGAAGGGGCTCTGCCCGCTCCCCTACCAGGCCTCTCCCTGGCTGCATCCCAGGGCTAGTTTATCACGGGGAGGGCACGTGAAGCTTGCGATATGTTAGGCTGACAGGTCACGTTAGGGATCGATGCCTTGGCACAAATACCACAGCGAAATACAGGTTTACAAAAGCTATTGGAATCGGCGGGATATTTGATACGCGAGATGGGATATATGTGACATTCCACGTTCTTCCTACACATCGCCCACCGGGTTCGGGTCGGGGTCACGGGGTCAGCGCAGTTCGGTTCAGGTGAGCTCACAGCCACGCACCACCAATAGGAGGAAACAGACGAATCCTCCACCTTCAAACTAAACACAAGAGGCACCGACCATTGTGTTGAAGTAAAGGCATGACCAGTAAGAGCTAAGACATGTCGACGCAAACCACGTGCTGTGCGTAACATATCAGCAGCGCAGCCATTTTTGCAGGCTGCTGGCTATCTGTGGGGATGGGCGCCCCCGTCCTCACCCTCGAAACCGCTGACCTGCTCCGCTTGCGTTTCAGACGGGATGGAGCTGGCCTGCTCCTACAACGCCAAGTTCATCGAGATATCAGTGGGCATGAACCACAACTGCGACGAGCTGCTGGTCGGCATGCTGCACCAGCTGCGACTGAAGCGCGGCTCCTACGAGCCCCAGAAGGAACACAGCTGGACGCGCAACAAAGGCATCGTGCGCGCGAGCAGAAAGTGCAAACGCGCCCTCACGAAAATATTCGGCAAGGAAGACTCAAGGTTGCGAAACGTCACCAACTTTCGCGTGCATAACTGAGTGCTTTGGGACTGCGGGGACTTGCGCGGAGCGGCGAGAAGGCGCCCTATCACATTTTCCTAGGTTAGCTGTCGAGTAGCGTGTTTTATATATTCTGCCCTGCCTTGAAGAGACGCTTTCTTACCGACCCGTACCCATCGAGGGATAATTTCAAGTTATGGAAGGCGCGGACGAACCTTCCACACATGTACCAATATCTAGCCTTGTATGTCCGTACCCGAATGAAAAACTCTTGGAATGCCAGCGTTCACAGATTGTCTGAAGCAGAGCATCGTTTGAAACAGGAGGATTTTGGATACCAGCCAAAACTCGCACCACACAACCCAGCGAGGTCACATCGGTCTCCTCGTGTTCAGTCTGCTCACGTCATGTCTCGTCCCCGCCGAGTCTGCTAACGTCATGTCTAGTCCCCGCCCAGTCTGATGCCGTCATGACCCGTCCCCGCCCAGTCTGATGACGTCATGTCTCATCCCCGCCCAGTCTGCTGACGTTACTAACGTCATGTCCCGTTCCCGCCCAATCTGATGACGTCATATTTCATCCCCGCCCGGCCTGCTGATATCCTCTTTCGTCCCCACCCAGTCTGGTGACGCCATATTTCGTCCCCGTCCAGTCTGATGACGCCATGTCTTGTCCCAGACCAGTCTACCGTCGTCGCACCACGCTCCTCCAACCCAGCTTGCTAAAGGGGATGTTCCACAGCTTAAGATATTGGAGCAAGCACCGGATATGATGAAATAAGCTCACTTATAACTACTGGTATACTTTTAGATGGAAAAGGCTGCTCTAGACAACACAATTTCTCTGCCTAGCGAATATGCTCTTCAATACCTTATTGTCTGATTACGTCATCGTACCTTGCACAAAATTCACTGAAAGCGAGTTGACGGCCGTTGCATCTGGAAATCGTGCTCACGAACGCCAGACATTAACAATTCGACAATTATACTGCTATTGGCCTCGATAGCCTCATGTCCAATGGAATGGCAGGATTTGAATGACGTTACTGTGTTATCACAAATGTGGAACACTCCCTTTGACATCGAACTCCATGGGATTCTAGATCTATCCTTAGATTCAGGCACATGTCTCCACAAATCTGCCCTCGCTTCCAGCCCGCTGACGTCACGTGCAAAGCCACGCCCAGTCCGCCAACGTCACGTGCAAAGCCACGCCCAGTCTGATGACGTCACGTGCAAAACCACGCCCAGTCCGCTAACGTCACGTGCAAAGCCACGCCCAGTCCGCTGACGTCACGTGCAAAGCCACTTCCAGTCCGCTGACGTCACGTGCAAAGCCACGCCCAGTCTGATGACGTCACGTGCAAAACCACGCCCAGTCCGCTAACGTCACGTGCAAAGCCACGCCCAGTCCGCTGACGTCACGTGCAAAGCCACTTCCAGTCCGCTGACGTCACGTGCAAAGCCACGCCCAGTCCGCTGACGTCACGTGCAAAGCCACTTCCAGTCCGCCGACGTCACGTGCAAAGCCACGCCCAGTCCGCCGACGTCACGTGCAAAGCCACGCCAAGTCTGCTGACGTCACGTGCAAAGCCACGCCCAGTCTGCCGACGTCTCATCAGCCCTCATACCCGGTCCTTCGTCACACCTCGTCCCTGTCACGCTGTCAGCTGACGTCACACCGGCCCCTCCAATCCGGTCACGGAGAAGGAAGCCCGAACACCGGTCAGGCAGCGGGTCAGCTGCGTCTATCTGTGTTACAAGCGTAAAAGATCCCGCTCAGAGACACGCGATTCGTTGACACGGACGCCAGGCGTCGTGAAGGAATGGGACGTACTAGCGTTGAGGTGGCCCGCGGTGATGTGAGTCCACAATATCGCCGCCCGATGAAGTGATCCGGCCGGGGCGGCCACGTGCGGGCCCGTCGGAAACCGCACAGCGGACCCATTCTAGGTATCGCCGAGAAGGAAGCCGAACGGACGTCATCAGGGAACACGGGAAGCCGCGCATAGTCCGGCAGCCGGGCAGAAACGCGTGGCCCTCGCCGGCCGACTCAATCGATGCTGTATTCATGGAGAGCCAGTGACTCGTATGACATCATAATGTGTCTGACGCAGCGACAGACTCAGCCACGAACACTAGTCACAAGGGACTGTGAGCGAGATGCCAGCAGCCGAGGTGACGACTACGTCCGGATTTGAGAGGGTCAGCAGTAATGTCGCCGGCGTGGCGTCGGAGGAGCGACGGCTGGTGTGGGCAGAGTTCAACGCCGCACAATTTTAGCCGTCTTTTTCAACACTGCCAATCCACGCGGTGGCACGGAGGTGGCACGTGCTTACGACCAGTCAAGACACTCGACGCTTTCAAAATCCGAAGGGGTTTGCTGGCTCCCGTTCTCCCTATGTGTCATCAGCCGGACAAGGATTTGCCAGATTTCCAAATCGTGTGGCTTTCCCGGCGGCGCACCGCGTGGTCGCAAACTACGAAATGTGAAATGGCCCGACTAATGCATTGCACCATTCCACAACGCCAACGGGCCAACAGTTGCCCGTAAGTCACGTTAATGAACCGAGGTTTAAATTTAGCTAGTACATTCAGCCTGCACCATGTGTATCAGGGTCAGGCATTGTATGCATAAAGCACGTCCAAACGGTCACGTTTACACGAACCAGAAATCTGACGACCCCGAAGTTTGCAAAGAACGAGCGAAACATGTCATGTTACACAGACTGACTGGATTGAATGTGCCGCCCGAATACATAAACAGAGGCCGGGCGACATGACCTCCTCACCCGCCGCGTTTCCGCGCAGATCCATAGGCCGCTGACGCGTGCGTCGCGTGCGAACCCGGCCCACTCCACAGCCCGCCGACGGCGCCTGGCTCGGCTGGGGTCGCATGGTCACCCTCGCTGTAAGGCCGAGGTGTCGTTTGTTTGTGCGAGATAAACACAGGAGGAGCTGTCATAACATGAGCCCTGCCGTTTACGACTCCTCGCCTGGCTCCCGAAGGGTTTGATGGGTTCATTCTGTGACGCCCTGACTGCCGCCCGCTCGGCCGCGGAGGTGGCACCCTGGTGCGCCAGGTCTGGAGTGGAGCACGGCTGCTGGCAACGCTGGCCTTAGCTTTCGCGACGCATACACGCACGGTAACAGCCAACAGTTAACGCCCACGCGCGTGGGGTGGACACAGACGGGAAAAGGTGTAACGTTGACAGATCGAGAAAACGAAAAAGTGAGCAGCCTCACATCACAGCAAGCATGACAGCATAACGTCAATCCACGACTGATGTGCGTATAAATGGACGTGTAAGCCTCCAATCCCTCGCAGACGGTGCTCTTTTTATTGCTCAAGCGTGCTGTTCGAATCACCAGTGCCGAATGCAGACAGGTGCAGGTACACTAAGCACGACCTTCACGGAGTTGCTCAGAAGCGCACTTGTTGCAAAACAAGCAAGCGCTTCGCCAAATGAGATCTGTTTCACGTCGCACGGCTCGTTTAATCGAACGAAGAACGTTAAGTCAGAACGGTAAAGAACGGAAACGGAAAGTAAAAGGTCAAGGGACGCCACTACGGCATACAAAACGACCACACAGCATACAACTGGAAAACGTGGTAACGGGTCAAGCTGCATGTATTTTACACTCAATCGACACCAAGTTGCCGAGCGCCGATTTTGTCAAGTTCGCATGACTCTGTCACTGAGGAATCAGACCGCTTGAGCCGGCAACGGTCGCGCTTACAGCCATATTCCCAGTGCAGGGAGCCGAATCACAGCCTCGGGCGCGCCCCCCCCCCCCCCCTCCCGTCTAGCGCGTCGGGCCTGTGTCAACACCTGCCGGTCGGCTGACCCGGCGGCGGCGTGACACCGCCGACGCCGACGGCGGCGGCGGCGGTGTCGTGTACCGACATGCAGGGTCCACGGATCAGACGGACGGCCGCCGGCCCGTCGGCACGCTACCCAGGCCAGGGGGCGAGGGCGAGACACGGCAACGCTGGCCTGCGCACTGAACCGCATAGGGCGGGCCAGGTTCTCGCCTGGCGCACGCGCCGTTAATGGGTGAGCTGCGAGCGCGGTGTTGCCACCTGCAGAATGCGAGCCGTCTGCAGAATGTGGGACTGCCACTGCATATTAAGCGATGTAGGATCGCGGTGAAACGCTTTGAAGCCCAATATTTGCACAATTACACGTGTATTCGTGCGCAGTGATTTGTCCGAGACAGTCACCCGGAATAACAAACACGCCATCGAGTAATTCGTGACAAATAAGTTGAAATAGCCACGGCGGTCGGGTAATGTAACCATACAGCACATGCATCTCGATGTTTCATGATCAATATCAGTAATCGCTCGAGGTACAGTCGGAAGATCACATGCTCACAATACCGATCTGTCACCATCACCCTGATCAGCCAACAGGGAAAAACGGAGCTCGCATCAGGTTTTGCTCGTACCAGATGTCCGTATCATAGGGATTGGCACGGACAGCACGAAACACCGCCGCCTCAGTCCGCCATCAACGCCAGAAGACAAGGCCTGTCTCGTCCCACAAGAGCCGGCCACGCCGACCTCCTTCCGTCCCGAACAATACACCTGGTATCCATCAATCCCGAATGGTACATCTGCTCTCCGCCCATCCCGAACGGTACATCCGGTATCCGTCCATCCCGAACGGTACACCTGATATCCGCCCATCCCGAACGGTACATCTGATATCCGTCCATCCCGAACGGTGCACCTGATATCCGCCCATCCTGAACGGTACACCTGATATCCATCAATCCCGAATGGCACACCTGATATCCGTCCGTCCCGAACGGCACACCTGATATCCTCCCATCCCGAACGGTACACTTGATATCCGTCCATCCCGAACGGTACACCTGATATCCGCCCATCCTGAACAGTACACCTGATATCCATCAATCCCGAATGGTGCATCTGCTCTCCGCCCATCCCGAACGGTACACCCGATATCCGTCCGTCCCGAACGGTACACCTGATATCCGTCCATCCCGAACGGTACACCTGATATCCGTCCATCCCGAACGGTACACCTGATATCCGTCCATCCCGAACGGTACACCTGATATTCATCCATCCCGAACGGTACACCTGATATCCGTCCATCCCGAACGGTGCACCTGATATCAGCCCATCCCGAACGGTACACCTGATATCCGTCCATCCTGAACGGTACACCTGATATCCTCCCATCCCGAACGGTACACCTGATATCCGTCCATCCCGAACGGTACACCTGATATCCGTCCATCCCGA